AGAAACTCAGTCATCCAGGTCGTACTGATTCGACAAAGTTAAAAACCAAACCACTGGACTTTGTTTTCAAAGTTTGAAAATGTTTTGCTTCCCATCCAGGAAGCTTTTTTAATTCAAAATGGATAAGCGTTGAGTTGCAAGTTCCAAACTCAAAGTTCAAATACTTAAATACGTTACTTAACTTATGTAGAAATCTCTGCTATCTATACTTATCTGGAGTAATTATTTTCTTAGCGACTTTTTACTTCTAGACTCATTAGTTTTGTTTTATTTAGGCTCTTTTTCCTTTTGGCCAGTGGGTATTAAAAAAATTGAAACCATTAAAATTATTGTTAATCCAGACAATTAATTTCTTTGTGGTTGCACTCTTATGTTTTCACATACAAAAATAAATAGGTTTTCAAGATGATGCAAAGTTAAATTTCACAATGTTACCATTAGTTATAAAACTACGAAAATTAAATATAAGGAAGTTATCATCCAAAGTTGTAGAAAAATCTTTTTTAATAGGGTAGCGCAGTAAAGCATCTGTCATTTTTTTCCTCTATTACTTTTATTTCTATACTTTAAGTAGTTTAAAAATTCGTACTTTTACATTTTTACTTGATTCAAACGCTTAAATTGAAACTTCTATAAAAGTGTTTTAAAACAGCAGGATTTATACTCGAGTAACAAACATAAATATTTTTGACACCTCTGACCATTACCTTTTCTAAAATAGAAAGGATTTATGGATCAGTGCTTCTATTTTCTTTTATGCCTTCTTCTGTCCCTTTAAACCCCCAGTCAGCCTCAAAATGAAAGCCGCTCATACTTAGCCTGTTTCTGCTGGAGGTTTCTCCCTTCCTTTTTTTTCTTAACTCTGTTGCATGCATGCTCTGTGTGAGGGATTGCTGTAGAGTCAACCACAAAATGTAAACCAATATCTACTATTGCCACATGGTCATCCAGGAGTTACTTGATGAAATCAGTTGGTTTTTCCTTACATGGAAAATGGTTTTCAACAATCTGACTGCAAGATATGATTCAATTGTCTCTGTAAAGTGCCTCGAGATGACATCTATTGAGAATTATTGCTACATAAATAAACTTAATTTATGCTTAATGAAAACAATAAAACTTTGACCTCTTCATGCTATTTTTGCAAGGAGATCAACTTTATTTTCTTGCTTAAAAATACACTAATAACAGCAGTTGTTTGATCTGAAAATAACCTTATAGAGACATTTGTTATTACCAAACCTACAGCGCAAATGCGTTTTTTGGCCGAATTTAATAGAAATTTGCTTTTAATACTATCCTACACACCTCAGTAAATGTATTAGGACACCATGAGTAGAAACCAACAGCTGAGGAATAATAAAATAGATAGAATTCTGGATATCTGTATGTTTATTGGGGGCAAATTCTACCTAATATGAATAAGACTGCTGGACATAGAGTAAACCGTGATAAAGGATTGATCTGTAGGACTGCCTCATTAACTCTGGAAGAACTGACTGGTCAAAAAGAGGAGAACATTTAGATTAAAGAGATGCTTCTTTCTTGGAGGTTATTGCTTAGCCAACATTGAAACACTAAGCTTTGAAAAATATTATTTCTTATCCTATAAAAACAGAAGAGAAAAAGCGACTACTGAGAAAGATTCCTGATTCATTTTTTTTTTTTTTTAGAAGTGACCTGAAAGAAAACATTCAAGAAAAAGAAAGAAAAAAAAAACACTTAAAAGTGCTGAAAAAGACTCTCACTGGAAAAGTGGAAGAAATTTTCTGCTTCATCAGTTCTCTGCAGCTGTTCAAATGAATCCCTTCACTGGACTTAGAATAGAAAGAGTTTGCATTTTTTTGGGATCCGCTCTTCCATCTTACTTCTACACTCTATCTTCAATACTTTCCTAACCTCATTAAACTGACTTTTTTCATGTTTCCCAAGATAATCTGAATTATTTAACTCAAACTCAGAAAGCAACCAGCGTCCAAAATCTGCTGCAGTGACAATCCTTAAATTACAAATAATAAGAGTAGCTCAAATGGATAAATAAACCAAAAGAGTAATTTCATGTTTTTAGCTCTCAGCTTTCTTTCTACGAGGATCTGAATTTCTTTGCTATAATTTCAATGGAAATTAAGATTCAACAAGCGCTTTCCAATTACAACAACATAATAAGGTTGTTATAAGAGATTTTTCCCCCTGTTGTTCGGCCTCCCATGAGTGGCTGACCTGTGGCTTTTATTCTATGTGAATCCGCGGTAGAGTTATGACTGAACAAGTAGCACAGCATCTTAAAAACAATTTCACAACTCAAATTGCCCTGAAATTAGACCTGTGGGCTGCAGATAACATTTTCTACCAAATCAGTTACATGTTCACAGGCATAATTGTAGCACTAAAAGCAACACAGGTACTTTGTTACATATAGAAGCAACCTGCTGATAATGTTTACAATAATTTACACATCGAGCATAAACCTACACAATGGATATCGTATTTCTGGATAAATGTTCTCATAGGACCTGTATTCATATGTAAGACAGACTATATCACAACACAACCAGAAATATACTGAGTAAATGTCTATTTATAAGCTGCTAAATGCCAGTTTTACCCACAGCTTCCTCAGAGCATTGGACGCATCTGTGGACATGTTGCCTGCACTGTTTATGTACATGGTCTTTCCTGGGAGTATAATTCGACATTTGGGTTTGTTTATATGTCTGCAGGCGTTTGCTCTTTTCAAACTGCTGTATTTATGTGTTTGGGCTTTACAAAGGCTGAGGAACTCCTGCACCTGACTAAGTCCCAGTGAGGGGTAGCTGCCATCTGTTGAGCCATTAGCGAACTGCTGGACTCCAAACAGGTAGCCCGTCTGACACCTCTGACTCATCATCATCCCACCAAACAGAAAATTATAAGAAACTGGACAACTGGGCAATGGGGCGCCCTCAGGACACATACATACACACAGAAGGAAGACAGTCAGAAATGCCTGGGGAGCTTTTTTGTGAGGTAAGCAGTTTTTGAGGAAGTGGTAAGTTTAATGAATATATGCTTGTGAGGCACACTGCCTACTTTTCCATTAAAAGCAGAGACATCCATGCATCATGCAACAGCCTTCATCGCCTGACACAATCCCACCTCCAAGGGTGGAATGAATCATTCCTGTTTTGGACCTTCGGGTAAAAATCATTGCAAATTAAGAACTACAGTACCACGGCGCCTTGCAAGACACTACCCCCAACACAAAATGGCAAAAAGAGCATTTCAGTGGGTGCGGATATTGGTTGAGATGAAAAAATTAATCATTTAGTCCAGATATTTCACAAAACAGGTACAGGAAGGCTACTGTTGCAAAAATAAAGCTGTACGTAGTTAGTATCCCACCAGCTACGAAATATACATAAGATACAGCAAACATGCCAAAGAGATTGTTCAGCTTAGATGAAACCCAAACTGAACTCTTTAGCCAATAACATTTTCACAACATATCAACTCAGCAAAGGCACACGGTGGTGAGGGCATCATGCTGTGATATTTAATTCCAGAATTAAATGTGACTGTAAATGTACAGAGGTAAGAGAAACCTTCCTCATAAGGCTTGCAGCTATTTTAGCAAAAAAAAAAAACAACAACAAACAAACAAAAAAAAACTATTTGTATTAAAAGTTTGGCTAAATTTGATCTGAATAGAAACACCTATCACAAAATTATAGGTTTCCACTTATATCACCCAGCTAAGCAATCAGATCTTATTAGAATACACTGACGTTTGGGTCTGTAATGTATTATAATGTAATAAAAGGTCCTGTAGCATTGACATTAATTTTTGTCATCAAAATATCCATATTTTTTAAATGTTACAAAGGAAATAAGGTCTTGTCCTGGATTCCAATAACACTATTGGCTTGTATTTTTGATTATCAAAGTATTTCACTGAGTTCCCTATAAAGGAATAACAGTAATTGTAATTTGTTGCTTTGACATTGTGTTTTTTACTGTCATTACACACATATATCTTCTTATTTGTTTTTCATGTTGTTCTACTTCTTCCTGGAAATCTAGTAAGTTTCTAATAATTAATTTCACTGCATTTCAGTTAATTCCTAGAATACATGCTTATGGCTTGGTCTACTGTGGGTCGTTTTTTAATCTTTTCTATTAGGCTACACGTTTTTTAATTCTCTCAATGTCTTTTTTGATTTTTGGATAAGTTCTTAAAATAAGCATCTCTCTTTGAAGCATTAACTGTTCTCTCCTGTAATGATAATCTGGCCCCAATTACCAAATTCGTCCCTGAAGAAGCTTGTTCACAACTGACTGCGCTGAGGAAATGTAGTTGCGACATGCATCCTATAGAGGGCGGTATTTTAAAGTAGTATCGTCTAAATTGCACAGCACGTGCACATTGTCTTCTCTTTTAAAAGTAGAAATACTCTTTGTATTTAAAGAAATTACATTTAATTAAAATAAAAATGCTGTTTTAGTGTCTTGCTGTTGATATAAACGGTTGGTTGAAGTTCCAGAAAATTTCATTTTGTTCCAGACATGATAATCAGGTTTAAAATGACCAAAAAAAAAAAAAAAAAAAAAAACAGCTTATGCTTATGTTTATTATTTATTTGAATTATTTGAACTTGTTAAAACGTTACCATATATATATATATATATATAGGTGACTCTAGT